ACACACCATATAAAAACTTTAAAAAAAACGATCCATGAAAAAAAAGTCAAATTAATATAATATAAATAATGGGACCCACTATATAAAAAATTTTTTAAAAAAAATATCACAATCTGCCAGGTGGTGACACAAAGTCGTCACTAAAAATATATATATATATACATATAATAGTGGAAAGTCTGTCATATACCGTTGGAGCGATGAATTAATTACTTTGTTGATTTTTATTTTTATTTTTATTTTTAACATAATATCATATTAAATATATATTTAGAAAATATTTATATAATTATTAAATTATAAAACTTAATTATTGTTACTGAAAATAATAAATATACTAAATTTAAATAAAAAAAATAGTCTAAACAAATTAATACAGCGTGTTTGTTCGGGAGTTTGAATTTTTAGTTGGAATTTGAATAGTAAAAATTTTGAATTTGAATAGTTGTATAATGCGATATAAATAAGTGTTGATGTGATATTTTGAATGTAAAATTGATTTTTAGTATAATATAAAAAATAAAAAATAAATGTTTAATTTGATATTTTTTGAAAAAATATATGAGATGAATAGTATTTAAAGTACAATCCTCCAAACAAACAAACCAATTGTGTAGAATAATTAACAGAAGTTGTAGTATTCATTTTTAAAATTAAAAAAATGAAAATGATTAATTTACATTTTAAAGAATACAAATATATAAAAATAATATTATATTATTTTTTATAAACTATCAATAATAATTAATTTATTTTATTAATATTAACATTATTAGTTTAACATATTTTATTTTTAATTTATTTATTGTGTCACTAATACAAAATATTTCTATATCCGTCTCCGGTTATAAATATGTTATATTGTCTGATTCGACTCAATCGGGTAGAATCTTCATCACTTTTTTTAATATTTTCTTTTAGGTTTTAGTTTTGGATTTTGCTTTTGAATAGTGATTTTTGAATGAACATAGTTATTTTATATGATATAAATATGATATTTTGAATGTAAAAATTCAATTTTAGTGTAATATAATAAGTGAAAAATAGATATTTCAGATATTTGTAGAATAGTAAAAATCAAAATTAGAATCTCACATGTAGAATTGATTTCAGGAGTAAAGGTTAGGGCTCAGAAAACGCAGATTTCGCACATTCAATATGCGGATGATTCCCTTCTTTTTTGTGAAGCTGATCTAGCCCAGATTGTGACGTTGAGAAGAATTCTCAAGATTTTCAGAATATGTATATGCCTCAAAGGGAGCTGGAGGATAGGGTGATTTGGATTGGGAATTCTCTGGGGATGGGTATCGGGCAATCTCATTCGCACGAAATTCATTTGGAAGACTATTGCCCCTCCTAAGGCTCAATTATTGGTTTGGAAAGCTTTAAATAATGAACTACCTGTAAGGGTGGAGCTAGTAAGAAGAGGCCTTTCGATTATGGGGGGAGTGGTTTGCTCCATGTCTGGCTTGGCACAGGAAGACCTGGACCATCTTTTTATTACATGCAGGTTTTCGTCGTGGTTATGGAGGATAGTAACAAACTGGTTCAACATTTTTTGGACTCTTCCAAATAATGTTCAAGGGTTGGTTTTGGTGTATACGGGTTTCCAGGAATGAGCTGATTTTTGTAGGAAAAGGGAATATTGTTCTGCGAATGATGAGGGATAGTTTGTCTGGTTATTGATGTTTCCTTTGTATGTAGTAGGGGACTTTTGAATTGCAGAGGCGATTGTAAGTGAATTTGTGTTGATGTGGTTTCAGAGATAGTCCCATTGGTTAGGTTGATTTTGGAATATAATAATATATTTTCTTATAAAAAATAAAAAGAAAAAAAAACTGAGTGAAATTTATTTTGATATTTTGAAAATAGTAAATTTTTAAAATAACAATGTAATGTAAATAAAAATTGTGATGTTTAAATGAAAAAATAAAATTGAATATAATATACTAGTATTAAATAAAAATATATGAAAGTAAAAGTAATGTAAAAGAATAAAAAAATAGGAGTATTTTGATATTACTTTTATTATAAAAAATAGAAAAATTTGATTTCAACATACTAAAAAGACAAAATAAAAAACTTGTTTTCGGAGAAATAGAGTATATAATTTGATATATATATATATATTGAATCCAGATAAAGAGAATATTAATTTTATTTTAAGTAAGTATAAACTCCATCATATATTATAAATATATTCAAAATTATATTTATTTATATTAATATTCTTATACCAAATTATAATATATGTACAAAATAATATTTACAAAACAAAAATTCTCTTTTTAATAAATTATTACATTATATAAATATATTTATTTACTAATATGTTACATTCATTTTTTATTATTTTTTATATTTAAACATCACACTAACTTTTTATTTATATTAGAACACACTACACCCTCCATTAAGTAAGGTATACGTTTATTTTTTTGCACAGGTAGTGTAAAGATAATTATATCTTTACTTTTTGGTAAAATAATAATGATATGATGGTAAAATAGAGGTGTTTATGTAAAATAGTGGAGTGATAATTGCTACAAAATATGTATACGCAAGATAGACATAAATGAAAAAATATATATGTTAAAGTGGGACGAAAAGTGTATAATTTGTAGGGTTTGTTTGTCCAATTATTTTTTTTTGATATATCTAATATATATTATCCTCTTACAAAAGTAGTATTTAAGGTAAAATATTATATTTCATATTATCAACCTTGTTGCATTTTTATACTAATATGCCAAACAACAAAAATCAATAACTAAGTGCCCAAAAAACAAAGAAAACTTAACAAAAATTAAAAACAACATCAAGCCTAAAAAACAGGGTGATTATGATTAAATTGAACACTTCCTGTTCGAGCTTCTTTCCGGCAAGCCCAGGCAGCGGTGCAGCAGTAGCAAGACAGTGGACAACAACGTCTCCCTCCTCCAGCGGAGACTTCCAGCAAACTCCCACAACTTCCTCTGGCGATTCTCTTCTTTCTCCGGAGATTCCCAAACAATTCGAAAAAGGACGATCGAGGAAACTATTTTGAAGGCTCAGTCTACAACGTAATGACTAACACTTAAGGACTAACTCAACCGTCTCCAAACAAAACCCCAAACGTACATACTCGATTTTAGAACCCTAACTCTAATCGACATATTTCTCCAAGAACCTCACGAAGAATACAATTATCAAAATTTATTATCTTTTATCAAGAACTCGTTACCTTAAAAAAAATAATAATAAAAAACTATTCAAAAATTTTTGAATTTTCAAAATTTTAAAATTTAAATTTAACATATATTATCTATAAATATATTTAAATTTTATTAACTGATTATCTACCTTTTCATATTCAATTAAACGAAATGACTAGTAATCAGTGCTTAAATTAAATTGTTGGATACAATTTGACAATAAAAATTATAATTCTTAAGTTATATGGCTAATATATTTATTTTATACATTTATATTATATTATGATTCTTTTTTTTATGTTAATTTTAATTAATATGTTGATTTATTTCGAATAATTTCAATTACTAAAATTTTTATAGATTAATATTTTAAAAGTTTAAATATAATATTATATAAAAATATTATTAAACAATAAAAATATATAGAAATGTGTATAAATAAATAAATTATTTATACATTATTTTACATATATTATTACATAATAAAAATATATAGAAATAAATAAATTATTGTGGATTTATAAAATAGTAAAGGTAATGTGTTGGAGGTGATTTACTATAACATGTGATAAATGAAATAATTTGAATGTTGAGATAAATATGACGTGAATGAGAGAGATAAAAAAGATAATAGAGTAAAGGTAATGACTATAGCAGATGCTCTAATAGACATAATATATGAAACAAAGGGAGAAAAAAAACCTTACATGACACGTGGCACAACTGATTCGACAGTAAATATATATATATTATATGATTTAAAATAAATGTTAGGTTTTTCCGTAATATTGGACGAATTGACCATATTGATGTTCAAAATATCTGAAGTAAAACTAATTTTACAAAGCTTGTATATTTATATAACTATAAATACATGAGAATTATACAATCTTTAATGTAGATATGATGCTAATTAGACTATAAAAGACGATATTGTAAGTATGAATGTAAAATTGTCACACAAACGATTTTAATTTATCTTTCCATTTCATTCTATTTAAAGAATTTACAAAATCAGACATATTTTACACGTATAAATATACATATATATATACTAGCGTGTAAACCCGTGCGATGCACGGTTTGTATAAATTGTTAAAATAATATTGAACAAATAATTAATTATATTGGTAAGTATTTTGTAGAAGAATACAAATATTCTTAAGGCTAATCAACAATTAATACTCCATATGTCCTATAACTAAATATTCATTTATTTTTTGTATGTAGTTTTAAAAATATTAGTATTATATTGAGATATAGCAAGAATAAAATAGAAATAATTAAAATAACCTTATTAGTATGTGTGATATAAAGGTAATGACATTTTTGTAATATATTGCAAGTTGTAAGGGTATTTGTAATGTTAGGTAGATAATACAATTACTAAAAAAGGAAATGAATACTTTGTTATGGGACGAACTAAAATGAAAAAATGAATATTTTGTTATGGGACGGAGGGAGAACTAAATTTACAATGTGACGAGTTTTTTTTTTTTTTATTAACGCTTTTATAGATTGTGTTTATATATGTAAAGTACTAATTATATTTTCATGGACGTAATACAATAAATAAATAAAAAATCGTCACTTGATCAATTTAGTATTAATTGTTGATTAGTCTTAAGATTATAGATATCATTCTACAAAATATTTGCCAATTAATTATATATCTTATATTATTTTAACAATTTATACAAATCGTGTAAATTGAACGGGTTTACGCGCTATAGTTTAAAATAAAACACACTCACTCACTAAACTAAATGGAGGCAGCTATAAATAATTTTAGAACACGTCCAAATCATTTTTGTGTTTCTTTCTCCTTTCGATTCCTAATCCCATAATTACTCATACTCCCTAACCTCCAAGTAACTAACTATGTCTGAATCACCGGTGGAGCTTGTGTTCATCCCCTCGCCGGGGCTGAGCCACGTCATCCCCACCGTCGAGGCTGCCAAGCTCCTCCTCGCCCGCGGCGGCGATCGCCTCGCCGTCACTGTCCTAATCATCAGTCTCCCCGAGGATGGAAACGATAAAACGGACAAGATGTTGTCCGATATCAAAGCAACAGTCCCACGCCTTCGATTCATCGGATTGCCTTTTGACCATAATGCCCCCGGCGCCGACTCCCCGGTCTTTCGATTCACTTATATCCTTAGTTGCGGTGACAAGATCAAGCAATTATTGTCGGATTTGATCGAGGAGCCATCCGTCCCCGGCTCCCGGCTAGTCGGGCTTGTTCTCGATATGTTTTGCACAAATTTAATTCAGGTTAGCAGTTAAGATCGTATAAATTAAAGTAATTAATTTCAAGTGTTAGGCATGGGTACTGAATTTTTTCATTCAGCACCCTATCCCTCCGGAAATTAAATTTTAATTATTCATTTAGATATTATCTGATTTAAAATTAAGATTATTAGATACTAATTAAAAGCTAAGATTATTTCAATATTACCATTAATATGTGCATCTACATTTCCTAATTTTTTTCTTAATAAAACATTTAGTTTATGAATTGTTGTTATATATACATATATTTACTTTTTGATTTTTTTTTATTAAATATATTGTGTAATATCTTCTCCATATTTATAATAAAAAAAATTGTTTAATTTTTTAAACAAAAATATAATACTTCTCCTGTTCCAAATATCCCACAACATTTGAGTTCTGTACAATTATTTAGATAGATAATATTAAAGTAATGTTATGTGATTGTAGAGATAAATACATATTTTTTTTTTATTGATGTGATTGAACAAAGTAAAATATATATTTATATATAAATAAAATTAATTATTTTTAAATTTAAAAATATTGTAGTGAATTTAAAAAAATTAAAATATTATGGAGTGTTTAGAAGAGAGAAATATTATTTTTATAATAAAATATTTCAAAATAACACGACCATTGACTTTTTTACAAGAATAATGACCATGTCTTGATAGTTTAATGTAGATGATTTTTTATTGGGCATATGCGAATGTGAGAGAGACACGTTCATTTGACTTTTATTATATGACCTGTATTTTTATTATTTATGAAAAAAATAATAATAACATTTAATTTTTATATTATATTAATATAAATATTAAATTCAAAAATCATATTTATTTTTTGTGTATTGATATTTGAATATTAATTATTATATTCAAATATAGTACAAATCAATAATAATAAAAAAAATTTCTATTAGCGTCCTATAATACTAATAAATAGACGTTTGAATAAAAAATTATACAAATATAAGGATATTTTTAATGTTAAGTACAATGACGCAAAATGTAAATGTAATCCTTGTCGACGAACGGAGAGAGTACTAAAAGATAATTTTATATTTAAAACAATACATAACTTTCATTAATATCATATCAAATGATTATGAAAATTTAAAATATCACTATTCAAAATTCAGATTTCTAAAAAGTTAGTTTTGCATTTCAAACTAAAAATTATACTCTTTTCGTCCATTGATAGTTGAACCATTTGATTAGGACACGGTATTTAAGGTAAATATATTTAATTAGCTAATAATAATAAATTATTAATTACTTTATTATTTTTTAATGTAATTAATAATATTGATAGTTTTAAAGTAAATTTAATATATATGATTAAAAAAGTAAAATATATATTTAAATATTTTAAAAATCATATAGCAATAAAATATATATTTGCAGTATGAATACCATTTTGTAGAGAATAAAATTTTCTATAATACAAGTAAATAAAAAAATACTTTTATTTATATGAAAGTGTTTTGATTTTTTAAAATAATAAAAATTAAATATTTACTATAATTTTAAGTAACTATTAAATGTAATAATATTAACATATAAAATCAAAATTTAAAATCTATACAAACATATCTTAGTGTTTGAAATATATAATATTTCATCGATCCCATATACGACGTATATTTTTATTTCGATTTGTCCCACATATTGTCTTTTATTTTGTTTTTGAAATATAATTATATGCTTAAATTATATTTAAAATATTATATTATTTATTAATTTTAATTAAATTATTTAATTATATTAATTTTAATCTGTAATTATTTTTATTAAACAATAATTATTTTTATTAATATATTTTTAATTACTTAATAATTATATTTTATCTAAATTCTCGTATATCCAATAATATAAATAATTTATTTAGGGATGAGGGAGTATGACTTATAAATTAATAAATCTTAATAACCTATAAATTTGTCATATGATTTACCCTAAAAAAAGATAAGAATATGTTTATTAGTCTCTTATAATACCAATACAATCATATTTTTAGAGTAAATTATTTAAATATAAGGACGGACAGAGTATTAAATTCCTAAGGTTGACTATTCTCTTATGCACCTTAATCCAAGAATGGTATATTAAATTTTATAATTAACTCTATGTTGTTATTTAAATAATTATTGGACTGTGACTCACATAATTAAGATTGATAGCGCATATTTTGCACAATACAATATAATAATACAATTGTACTGTCCCGTTCTACTACGGATGACCTATTTTCTTTTTGGTACGTCCCACAAAAGATGATCAATTTTTATTTTTGGTAAATTTATCAATTTTAAACATACTTAACAAATATAAATTAATTTAATTAAACTTCTAATATCTTACACGTAGGACTCACTCAAAACTCTTTTATTTCTATATTTGTCATCAATTAACAAATATTTTTATCTACCTTTAAAACTCCTCAATTTTTTATAAAACTAATTTATGATAATGATAAATAAATATATATTTTTTTTTATTAATTTGTATTATATAAAATTTTATTATCTACAAGATGATATCCATGTTGCATATATTTTATTGAAATATAATTGTAAAAATATTTAAAATACCAACAATACTATACATATAAAAAATAATAAAATATTATCGTAAATACCGTATCCCTAATAAAAAGCTCCATCTTCCGCGGAAGGGAATATTTATATAACAGCATATGCTATAAAAATTTTATATTTATTATGCTACACAAAATATATTTATTGTATTTAATTTAATAATATATTACGTTATATAAAATTATACGTATTACATAATGTCAGCAAATAATAATAGTATAAATATTACGTAATCAGTAGGGGTTAGAACAAGGAGTCACATATGTGTTCACATGGGATTTGAGGTGAACAATATGAAATAGGATAATTTAGAAATGAAGTAATTTGATTAATTAAGAAATATATATATATTATTTTTTATTTAAATGATATGATAAGATAAAATATGATATAGATATTAAATATATTTAATTATTGTATATTTTAAAAAATTTGTAAGATATTTGAAACATTCAAAAGAAAATAAAAATAAAAATATTGCATTGTATTTGCAACAAAGTAGAATACTTCATTAATTCAAGTAAAGTCACACATGTGATTTTTATTAATATAATATTTTAAATAAATAAACAACTTTAAAAGTAAAATTTCCTATTTCATTTAAAAGTATATATTTAAAGCGAAAGTTTAAAAATAATAGTATTTCTTTTTTCTCACGTTAATTTATTATTTTTTTTATTTTTGTTCGTCCTACTTTAACTTATATATTTTTGGTAGTAATTATGGATCCAAACATTTTATATAAATACTTTTATTTTATTATTACATTATTATTTTTATGTAAAAAAGCAACTGCAATATTATTTTTATATTACTTTTAACTAACTACCGCAATTAAATATTATTATTTTTTAAATTTTCCGTTAAAAGTAAATGTACACCTTAATACGGGACAGAAAGAATAATATTTTAAGTGTAGTAGATAGTTAAAAATAATATAAAGATAATTTTGTGTTTTAAAAATAAGAATATTATTTATAGAAAAAAAAAAAGAATTCATAGCTATTAAAAGGAGAAATGATTACTTTTTAATTATATAATTTAAAACAAAAATATGTATATTTTGTAAGTAGACAGAGATAATATGAAATAAAATTTATTAAAATAGTACTCTCTCTTAACAATTGACACTGTGTCCATAACAATCAACACATTTTTATTTTTAATAAATTTATAAATATTAAATATACTTAATTTATATTTCTACCTCTCCCCCAAAATTTTTAAATAGTGTACTTCTTTCGTCCTATAACAAAGTATTTATTTTTTTTATTTTAGTCCGTCTCATAACAAAATATCTATTTTCTTTTGTAGTAATTGTACTATCTATTTAACATTACAAATACCTTTACAACTTACAATATATTACACAAATGTCATTACCTTTATATCACAAATACTAATAAAATTATTATAGTCATTTCTATTTTATTTCCACTACATCTCACTATAATACTACTCCCTCCGTCCCATCTAATATGAGTGTATTACTGTAGACACGGAAATTTAAGTAAAGTATAATTAGTAAGTAATTAAGAAATGTATTAGTAAAAATAATTATTATTTAGTAAAATAATTATAGATTAAGATTAAAATAAGTAAATAGTTTAATTAAAATTAAGAAAATTATAAAATTTAAAATTTAAAATGCAGACGAACGAAAATAGAAAGTAAGGACAAATTATGTAAGAGAGAGGAAGTAATATTTTTAGAATTACGTGTAAAAAACCAAATAAATATATTATGTGAGGGAGGGAGTATCAGTAATAAAAAAAAAAAAGAAACATCAGCTGTTAAAAGCATAACGGTTAAAGGACGATTATTCATTTATCCTTTTTGTTCATTTGATACAGGTGGGTGAAGAATTGAGCATTCCTTCCTACGTTTATTACACTGCAGGAGCATTCAGTCTTGGCGTATTGTACGACATGATTTCACTTAGATTCGACCAGGATCAGGACGTGACACAATACAAGGATTCCGACACTAAACAACTCTCCTCACCATGCGCCTCTCAGCCTCTCCCCGCCAAAATACTTCCTCTATTTGTCGTCGACGGCACTCCTACCGGAGATATCGTCCTCGATTACTTCCGGAAATTCGCCGGCGCCAAAGGAGTTCTCGTCAACACATTCTACGAACTCGAATCCTACGCCATCGATTCGCTGCATGCTCATTACAATAACTATCCCAAGGTTTACCCGGTCGGACCCATGTTGAAGAACAATCCTGACTCCGGCGATCCGTCGGCAGCTGATTTGATGACGTGGCTGGACGATCAGCCGGAGGATTCGGTGGTGTTTCTGTGCTTCGGGACGATGGGGGCATTTGAAGAAGCTCAGGTTAAGGAATTCGCCGAGGCTCTGGAAGGTTCTGGAAGCAGGTTCGTGTGGTCGTTGCGGAAGCCGACGTCGTCGTTACTTCCAACCGAGTACGAAGACTTCGGCGAGGTTCTGCCGGAGGGTTTTTTGGAGCGGACGGCGGGACGGGGGCGGGTGATCGGGTGGGCTCCGCAGGCGGCGGTGCTGGCGCACCCGGCGGTCGGGGGTTTCGTGTCGCACTGTGGGTGGAACTCGGTGCTGGAGAGTGTCTGGCACGGCGTTCCGGTGGCAGCGCTGCCGCTATATGCGGAGCAGCAGTTAAATGCGTTCGAGCTGGTGAGGACATTGGGGATGGCGGAAGAGATCAAGATTGATTACAAGTTAGATGTGACTAGGCAGGAGCCGGGGCCGGAGATCGTCCCGGCGGGGGATATCGAGGCTGCGATCCGGCGGGTGATGGCGGCGGAGGGCGGCGTGAGGAGGAAAGTGAAGGAGATGCAGAGGAAGAGCCGAGAGGTTTTGGAGGAAGGCGGGTCGTCGTGGACGTCGCAAAAGGACTTCTTCCAAGACGTGTTGAGAAACGTTGGATTGGAATAGAGTTGGTGGAAATTTGAATGTTGATTTTGGAGCCTCTTGATTTTAAGGATTTAATAATGTTTATTTTAATTTTGTATTTTCTTGTTTTTTCAAATTCCCATATGAGATTTTGATTGTGTTAAGGTGGGTAGATGGATTGATCGGTACATTCGGACATGAGGTCTTTCCAGGTATCCATCTTTTATGACTATGTTCCATTCGAAAGAATAAAATAAAAATTATCCATCTTTTATTCTTGTTAATTAGCACTATTTAAAGAATACGTGTTTCATTAGTAAATTGTTCATATGTTCAACAAAATTTTTATTTATTTATTTATGTATTTATAATAAAAGTAACTCTGAACTAAATATTAAAGTATTCATACTTTTTAATATTCATATTATTTTTACTTTAATGTGAAGAATAAAATAAATATTAAACTATATATATATAAATATTAATTTACTTGTGTAAAAATCAAATAAAAAACTTACTGTAGACATATAGAGTATTTTTTTATCATAAAAATAAGTTTAAAATTTTTGTGCATGATTTTAATATATTGTGTTTAGATTATTAAAAGCATGTATTGTTAGAAAATAATCATGTGCTGATAGTTATCATATCACATATATATATATATTAATGTTATATACTTTCTCGGTTCTAATAGAGCCGTTTTGAGTTTTATAATAAATTAAAAAATAATATAATTCTATTGGTTAGTGAAACAGTGTAAATAATTTTGATATTTTTTTCTTTGATTCTATGTATAAAATAATTGTAATAATGATATATTTGTAATTTAAGTAAAAATTAATAGTATTTTGATACTAATGTATGATTATTTTTTTTTAAGTAGAAAAGTGATACTTGTGAGTGGATAAGACGAAAATGATAAATATGATACTTAAATTGGAATGGAAATAGTATTTATAATAGGCAAAACAACAAAAAATTCCCTGAAGTTTGCGAAATTTGCTGAAAAAACTATATGGTCCTAAAATTTTGTTTTATTTACTTGTAATTTAATTAATAGTGCAAAAATATCTCATATATTAGTATTTAAAGGAGAGTGTAGCAAATGCCGTTTAAACTGCAAATATTATTACAAATTCATAGATAACATGATAGAAAAGAAATTAATTATAATAATAGACAACAAAGTACTTTTGTAACTTCCTTTCCTATTATCAATAAATTTGTAATAATACGCCCAAATTAACTGCAATCTTCTTTAAGTATTAATAGTTGGGATATTTTTGCAATATTACCTGAATCACACCAAATAATATTTTCAGCAAATTTCACAAACCACATGGGATTTCTAGTTATTTTGCCTTTATAATATGATGTTCATTAGATACTTTGTCCGTCTCAATAAATAGTTTTGTTTATCATTTTTGTTCGTTTCAAAACAATAGTCTTATTTTCATAAATAACTATATCACCATAAAACTATCATACTTTTTCATTATTATTATATAATTGTCACTACTTTTAACACAATATACTCACACGAGTAAAAAAGTCTTTTACTCATACTTTTTACCAACTAACAATATAATATCGATATTCCTTAAATCTCGAATCCAAGACAACCAAGACTATAGTTATGAGACGGATGAAGTATTTATTATGAGTGTATTTCTTTTTTAAAATTTTACTTCTTCTGTCCTACATAATTCGTTTAATTTTTCTATTTCGGTCCGCCTCACATAATTTGTTCTTTCTTTTTTTAAAATATAATTATACACTTTAATCATATTTTAAAATTTATAATTCATATATTTTTTTATTTTAATATTTTAATTAAATTATTTAGTCATCTTAATCTATAATTAATTTTACTAATACATTTTTAATTACTTAGTGATTACATAATATTTAAAACTTCGTGTCCAACTAAAATGGACAAATTAACTGAAACGAAGGAAGTACCGTTCTTATGGGACAAGGTATATATATTTTATATACAGGGCAGACGAAGATAGTTGTAACTTGTGCACTTGCTTTTACTTTTGATTTATGTACACACCCAAAATTAATTGGACTTGCCCAGTACAAGTACAGCTCAAATCCTGGAGGTTCGCGGCACAACTGAAGGTCCAGATCTAGATTAGCGAGTGGGCCTACGGACCCGACTAGCCCAATGACTCAGTCGGCCTGGTGCATTTAGAGCAGTCAATTTTATTCAAAAAAAATTAAAAAATTAACCACAATTTTGGAGATATTAAAGAAGATCAATGAGAGCCAAACAGAAGACAACGACATCAACCATCCTCTTCCTCTACAATTTTTCTCTGCAATTTATTTTTCTTTAAAAACAACACTTTTTTACAATTTCTTTAATTAGTTTACAACTTTTTTTTCAGCATTTCCTGTGCATTATTAGGTTTATTTTCACCTTTTTTTACATTAATATTTTGATAATCGCGACATAGCCCGGATCCTTTTTTAAGGAAACCGAGGAACTTTTCGAAAAAATCAATTCCGACAAGCTTTTCCGATTAAGCCGTCGGTGGCTATTTTTTACGACAATATAATTGGTAAGCACAGAGGGACACCGACGTCTCGCGACTTTTCCATGCAACTTCGGAAGAGAAAATTGACACCGCTGACAACCGCAGAGATGTCCAAAAAAAGAACAATCGGTGATTCGTCATTTTGCCCTGCGCCTAAAATTACCTCACATGATTAGGCGTCCGCTGTTGCTGGAAGGCCATATCACATTATCAGCCTTCCACCCAACGTCCTTCAGGAGCAGATATGTGGAAAAATTAGGTCGTCCTTCACGGATCCGCCTAGAACTATCACAGTACATTAACAGTGTCCTGAAGCCGGCCATTCAGAATGAGTTTGCGCTGCTTTTGGAGGAAGAAACTCGAAAAGGCAAGGCTCGGAAGGTCAATTACAGCCAGCCAGAGATCTGGCCTTCCGCGGGCCTTACAATCAGCTTCGTAGCAGATCCGACCTCTTAGGCACTTCCGGAACCTCAATTTGGAGACTCTGAAGGATGAATATATGATGCTCATTTCCGATATGCTCATGGATTCTACGGCTGGATACGAGATTCTTTTTTTTTTTTTTATGGAAGGCTACTCTGGTTATAATCAAATATATTTAGCCCCAGAGGATCCACATAAAATAGCTTTCCATTGCCCCGGAGCAATTGGAATCATCAAATTGATAGTTATGTCCTTCGGCCTGAAGAACACCGGAGCGACCTACTAGAGGTCGATAAACTTAATATTCCATGATCTGATAAGTGCTTGCATTGAGGTATACATAGATGACGTGGTGGTGAAGTCCTGAGCATTCGATCACCGGCTGCTGGACCTTTGGAAGACCTTTATGCGGATGAGGCAACACGACCTAAAGGTGGACCCAATGAAGTGTTTCGGAGTACAAACAGGAAATTTATTGGGTTTTTTTAGTTCACCAAAGAGGCATTGAAGTCGAAAAAAATAAGGCCAAGGTTGTCCAGGACCTTGGGCCCCCACACAATGTTAAGGAGCTGCAAAGTTTGATGGGGAAAGTCAATTTCCTGAGGAGGTTTATCACCAACACCCGCCGGAAAAATGAAGGTCTTCACTATTCTTGCATTGAAAAACCTTTTTATCATTATATAATGCATGCACAAAATTAAAGTATTATTTAATGTCTGTTAGACTAAAGTAATATGCAGATTCGACCTTCTACATTATTTATTAAATAGGCCAGTCCTCCGAGGCCGTTTAGTTAAATGGGTGCTAAAACTAGTATCGATTATATTAACGTACCAACCCTTTAAGGCCGTGAAATGCAGGTCATCGCTGATTTTTTGGCCGAACATCCTGGGATGGTTCAGGCCGTCTCCTTGGACTACGTGGGATTAGAACCTTGGTTGTTGACTTTCGATGGGCCCAGCGTCTCGGGAGCAGCCAGAGTAGGTGTGGTGATATCTAATCCAAAAGGAGAAATATGATGTTTTGCCCACCAACTTCCGCAATGTGTCACGAACAACTAAATTGAATACGAGGCGTTGCTATTAGCATTGCGATTTTTGGCCGCAAAAAATGCCAAGAAGGTTGTTATTCGAGAAGATTCACAGCTGGTTATTCGTCAAACACTTAAGAAGTTCAAGTGTAGGGAGCCACAACTTCAGGGCATTCTTCAAGAAGCCTAAGACTTCTTTAGCAGCTCACGGAGGTGACGCTAGAGGACATACCTCGGACCCAGACTGGCGAACCCCGTTGTTGAAAGGTTTGCAGGTTGTCCAGGACCAGGACCCCGCTGTTGACTTCTTCTATAGCCAAGATGCGAATGTTTGCAGGTTGATCAGGATCCAGACTAGCGAACCCCGTTGCTGGAAGGTCTAACAGATCCCGTGAAGGTCACTTCAAAAGCAATGCGCTATTAGTTTCTAAAATACACTCAAATTGATAGAGAGCTATTTTGACGGAGATCCGATGGAACTTTTGCATGCTGTCTGGGTCACGAGGATGCTAACAAGGTTATGGCCGAAGTCCACAAAGGTGTTGGAGATGCCCATAGGGCTGGACCTGCTATGAAGTAAATGGTCCTCCGATACGGCTATTTTTCACCACGAATCTCACAGGATTGCATGGACTACGCTCAAGGATGTCCAACATGTCAGCGCCATGGTCCACCGCTACGGGTTTCTGTGGAAGAACTTCATTCGATTTTCAAAACTTGGTTGTTCTATGGATGGTCGATTGATATCATCATAAAAATACATTCTCCATCTTCTAAGTGGCATTTCTTTATTCTCGTTGCTACCGATTACTTCACGAAGTTTGGCATTATTCTCCGGTTTGACATTTCCAAGAAAATAATCACCAACCAAGGGACCGCATTTGTAAGCGCAAAGGTCAACGCTTTTACAGCTCAATACGGGATGCATATGCTTCATTCCTCTATGTATTACCCTCAGGCTGACGAGTAAGCCGAGACAATGAACAAAAATTTGATTTCCATTCAAGAAGACTTTGGAGGACAATCCGAGGGTTAGCATAACACTTTGGATGAGGCTTTATGGGTGTATCAGAACGCCAAATCCTCTGTAATCAGCAGCACCCCTTACAGGCTGACTTACGACCATGATGTTGTGCTTCCATTAGAGATTACAGTTCATTCTCTCCGATTTTTAAGATGAACGAGCTGCCAATATGAGAGTAGGACCAGAACCTACTCCAAGAGCTTGACACTTTGCCTGAAGAGAGGTTGCAG